TCTCTTGGTTTAGTTCTTTGGCATACCTGTGTCTTATTCCCTCCTTAGTAACACAGCAATGATCTGCAAAAGGTTTTTATTTATTATTTTATTAATCACTTTTACAGTGAGGTTTGCTTTAGTTTTCCAGTACTGCTGAAACAAAGAACCACAAACCTGATGGCTTAAAACAAAATAAATTTATTCTCTCACAATTCTGGAGACTAGAAGTCTAAAATCAAGGTGTTGGCAGGGTCATGCTTCCTCTGAAGGTTTCAGGAAAGAATCCTTCCTCTACTCTTCCTAGCTGGTACAAGCTTCTAGCAATGTTTCTCATTCCTTGGTTTGCAAAGGCATCCCTGCAATCTCTACCTTTGTCATCACATAGCGTTCTCCATGTGTGTCTGTGCCTCTGCGTCTCCTTGCCTCTCCTTATAAGGACACCAGTGATTAAATTTAGGGCCCACTCTAATCCAGTGTGACCCATCTTAACTACTAAGTCCATTTGCATAGACCCTATTTCCAAATAAGGTATTCTGAGGTTATAGGTGGACATTAAATTTTGAGGTACACTACTCAACCCAGTCCAAGGGTGTACTACCCCACCATTTGGGTTAAAGCATTGAATCTGAATCTAGTCTCTTGACTCTTTGCAAGTACTTTATTTTTCCTTTGTAAATTGATCTTCTAGAAACCACTTCCTGTTTCTAGACTGAGAGCCTTTGCATTTGGCCTTTGATTTCAGCTCTGTTTACTCCATTTATGTTTCTGTTTATTTTTGGTTCAGGAAAACAGGATGGCCAGGATGATGTTTATATTATCTTTGAAACTAGATATGTCCCTTTGGAATTTTAAAAACATATTGTATCTATTGTTCTTATTTGAGATAGGAAATGTGTCAATGTGTAACTTATTGAATCATTTGCAATAGATTGTTCTACTTTACTTGAAGTTACCTTGTTGTCCTTTTTAAATTTTTTAGTTCATTAATATTCGTTTTTTTAAAAGATATATACATTTAAAGCTCTAAATATCACTCTGAGTGCTGGATTAGCTTCATCCCATAAGTTTTTCTATTCAGTGCTTTCAGTGCTCTAGTTACTTAATTATTTTTTTTATTTATTCTTTGACCCATGAGTTCCAAACATAAGGGTTAGCAATATTTTACCACAGATTTCTAATTCTATTGCATTGGTGACAGAAAACAGGTTTTATGGTGTCAACATTTGGAATTTTTATTTTTTATTTTTTTGTGGCATGGGACCTGGTCAGTTGTTATAAATGTTTACTATAGGCTTGAGAAGACTATATATTCTGTGGTTGGCTTAAAAATTGCTATATATGTATGAGATAACTCTTATACAATTTGGTATTCTGTATTCTCATGAATTTTCTGTCTGTATTTCATATTCACTTGTTGGAGAAGTGTGTTGAAATTTTCTACTCAGATTGTAGATGTGTTTCTTGCAATTTTGTGAATTTTTGTTTTATATATTTGAGTTTATGTCAATAATAGATTTATATGGGTTCTTAACTATTATATCTCCTTGATAAAGTGTTTCTTTTATTTTTAAGTAATGTCCTCTTTAACTCGATTATTTTTTTCACTTTAAATTCTACTTTGTCCGACAGTCATTAATATAACCACAGAAGCTTGATTTAATACCTGCCTGGTATATTTTTTCTGACCTTTGTCTTCAACCTTTCTTTGCATTATATTCTTTAGTCTGGCTCTTATAAACAACATATAGGTAGAATTTTGAAAACTCCAATGTGAAAGTCACTATCTTTTTTTTTTTTNGAGGTAGATGTATCTATTAAAAAAATGTTAAAATATATTACATCTTAAATAGATAGTTGATGAATACAAATAGTTTTAAATAACTTTATTAAGATTTTATTCCCATAAGAACAACAGCAGCTAATTGTTTTGCAATTTGATCATCCATAAGCAAATTTTCTGAATGCACTTATCAATTATGTTTGCTAAAATGTTGTGGTTTTTTTTTTTCTTTTTTGGGGGCATTTTTCATCCAGAAAAATCCAAATTTATTTCCTTCTTTTCTAATCTTTTCTAGCTGTTTATTTTATTTTTTGACATTGAATAGAACCTCCAACTTAAATGTGATATGGTTACTGCAGTTTTTTTTTTTTAAAGACTTTTATTGGGGAATTGGGGGAAGGGGTACAGACAAGTTGCTATCCTTTTGTTCTTCAGTCTAGTTGTGGAGGATGTTGCTTCACTGGCTCAAGTTGGCACCATCATTGGGCTCTTCCCGGGCGAGGCAGATCAGTCACCAGCTTCTGGACAGCTGCTCACAGCAGCTGCTGGCCGCTCTCGGTGGCTGCTGGCTACACACCGTAGCCCATGGCAACCCACCTGCCGCCACGGGGGACTCACAGCAGCCCAGCTCCAGGTTGAGCTGTTGTTCAGCATCTAAGCTGCAGAGGGCAGTGTCACTGGCCCTCATATGTGGGATCCGAACTGGAGCCCTCTGGCATCCCAAACCAGCTCTTAACCAACGCGCCACTCGGCCAGCCCAATAACTGCAGTTTTATTCCAGTATTTAGTAAGAATGCTTCCAAAGAGTCACCATTAATTAAGATACTTACTCTTGTTATTTTTGAGATGACCTTAATAGATTAAGGAAGTCCCTCTTTTCTGAGTTTGCTCCAAGTCTTAATTATTAATGTGTTAAATATCACCAAATCATTTTTCTGCATGTATAATAGTTAGCAGAGGATCCAAGATTGTTTCCTATTTATTTTGTTAATAGGGTGTTTTACATTAATAGGCTTTTTCTGATGTTGAACCATCTTTGCATACCTAAAATAAACCCCATCAGTTCATTTTTATACATTATTAGATTCAATTGTTAATTTTTTATTTAGGATTTTTGCACGCATAAGTAAAATCAGCCCATCCTTTTTTTCCTTGAACTGGACTTGTCTAACGTAAATATCAATATTGTGCTAGCTTTGTAAACTGAATGGGGAAATTTTTCTTCTTTTTTTTTTTCACTTTTTGGAATAACTTATATAATGTGGGAATTATCAGTTCATTGAAGATTTGTAAAACTTGAATTAAAAGCATCTAGACTTGGTG